TGCGATGTAAAACCCTACTCCTGCTTTGTGGTGGATTACCCTCACGGGGGGCTGAGGATGAACTAGTACAAGGGGAAGAACAACCTCAGGAGGCTTGTTCTTGTGATGAGCTCTTAGGGTTTTGTCTCTCAAGGGCTCGATGATTCGATCCTCTAATCCCCTTTCTACGGTGGTGGCTAGGCTATATTTATAGTGGCCCTGGTCCTCTTCCCCAAAACTTAGGCGGGAAGGGATCCCACAATGACCAATTTTGAAAGGGGACAAGTAGTACACTTGATCCTGACGAAAGGTGGTCTTCACCTGCAAAGCTTCTGATCAAGACGTCGTGGTGGGCTCGATGATGACGTCCATCCTGCCGTTCTGGCGGTCCTAGTCTCGTTGCACGCAAACGGCAACCTTTAGTTGATTCCTTGGGACTCCGCACCTGTGCTTGCCTCCTTTGCACCAAAGAGGAAACCTGCCGCTCTGCGCCCGCTCGCGCGCGCCTGGCCTTGGTCGTCATGGCTGATGTCATTTTAGCCTCTTGAGGCGAGGGCTTGCATAGAAATCTCCGCTCCTCCGGAGAATGCGTGAGGAGGCCGCTCCTTTGGGAGGTCTTGATGTCGTCCGCCTTGCGAGGCTTGGCCCCTCACGAGGGTCTTGTCTTGTCGTGGTTGAAGATGGGTCGTACCAGGCCGTTGATGGAGCCACGCCATAGGCCGCAGGCAGCCAAGTCTGGGTACCCTGGTTCCCTGAACGCCGACAGGGTAGAGGGTTCCCACCTAAATATATTACTCAAAGGCCCAAAAGGCGAGTTACATCATAGATTACATCGAGAGGAGATGTATAGTCGCAAGACACGGCAACCTCCATACTTACACGGATCTTAAATATAAAGGTCCAAATAGTGAAGTCCGAAATGATGTTTTGAAGGGTATCTAGGGATGAGTGTAGCTCGTTGTGAAAGACACGAGCATTCCTGGAGTCCCAAAGCTTCCATAGGATGGCGAAAGCGACGGTAGGCCAAATGTTGATGTCGAGGCCAACCGACGTTGGCGTATCCTAGACGAGGTCAATGGAGAGAGGTGACTGAAGGCCCAAGAGGGACCAAACCTGAGTCGCGCATGGGCAAAGAATGGCGAGGTGCGATGCATCCTCCAGTGTGAGACCATACCGGGGGCAGGAGGAGTCCGGAGAGATGGACTTGCGGAGTAGATTCACCATCGTGCTCAGCCTGTCACGACAGAGAAGCCAGCCGAATATCTTAACCTTGATAGGAGCCTTGGGGCTCCAAATGTTCCCCGTGTTGAGGTCGATCTCGTGGTCGGAGGAGAGAAACGAGTAGGCGCACCTCGAGGAGAACGAGGAGCCGTGGGTGAGGAACCTATCATCAGGCGTGTCGCTGGCGGTGACATCGTGCAACAAAGACAAACAGACACAAGCTCGACAAAAGCAACATTTTAGGCAATTCTAGAGTAGTCTGTAAACCAGCAAGCATGGCATGAGATACTAGGACAGAGGGGGAAGTGAAGTGGGAGAAAATGTGGGCATAAGTGTCAATGAGAGGAGTAGGGAGAAGCCAAGGGTCGAGCCAGAAAAAGGTGGAGGAACCACTATCAGTAAGGACGAAGGATGTTTTTTGAAGGGGACAAAGTTGATCATGTATAATTTTCCAGAGGAAGGGCGGGTTGTTAGGTTTGTTAGCGAAGTCAAGAGAGTACTAGAAGAACCAGTTAACCCAAGGCAAGGCAAGTCTGGTTTTTGGGGGAAGTTTGAAGGCAAATTTCATGAGGCAGTTGTTTTGAAGAATTAGGATTTTGATGCCTAGACCACTAGTATTTTTAGGCCTGCATTTTTTCCAGGCAATAAGACACTTTGCGTCGGAGCCCGGAAGAAGGATCTATGAACCACAGCTAGCATTTTAATGATCTTCTTAGGGAGCCTAAAAACAAACATGAAATGAGTGGCGAGGACGTCGAGAGTGGAGGAGATGAGAGTAAGTCTCGCTCCATGAGAGATAGGTTCGAAAGCCGAGGAAGGGAGATGCGTGTGGGAGAGAGGGAAACCTAGATAGATTTGAGGGAAGGAGGATAGGTCGCACCCGAAGGTTGAAGCAATATGCTAGCTAGAGGTGGGTCTGTATGGATGAGCACGAGGGTAGTTGTGTGGAAGTGAATGGGCACAAAGGTTGAAGCACCTTCCGATTCAGTGCTATAATTTCTTGCTAGCTCCAGTGACTTCATATAACTCACGAAAAAAATCAACAGTGGCCTTTGGAGGAGGCATTTCTTTCTGTTAGAAGGGAGAGATGGATTGGTGGAATAGTTGTTGTATTGCTTGAGCCTCGTGGGCATATATATAGGAGTACATGGTCATCTTGGAGTACAAGTCAAGGCAGGAACAAATCCTACGCTATCCTATGTTTCCTAAATAAACATTATACTCAACATTCCCCCACAGTCACAACAGTAGCGACACAGACGATGAGAATGGAGAAGAATCCGAAGGCAAGCCGACGGACACACCCCCTCACAGTCGTAACGGGCGATGCATCGCGGAGTCGTGGCTGGAGTGGAAACCAACGAGGTTGCTCAAGCAAGGCGGTAGCCATTTGTGCCGTTTGTCGATGTAGCCGAGAGCGTGGGTGGTGGAGCCATGGTCGAGGTAGCCATGCGAAGAATGCTATGGTCGATGTCGAGTTAGGGTGTCCGGTGTCGAGGAAGTCGTCGTGGAGCCGCGGGCGCAAGGGGGCGCCGAGTTAGCATGGGCACAGTGGTGTCGAAGTAGTGGTGCGCCGAAAAGGAGATGTTGTTGACAACGCGTCACACCGGGTTTGCCAAGCCCGGGGACACATCATAGACGAAGGCATGCACCGATGTTGCCAGCACTGGGCATGCATAGACGGATGAAGACGAAGTTGACGAAGCGCCGCACCAGGCTTGCCAGGCCCGGGAACACATCGTGGACGAAGGCACGCGGCGGTGTTGCCAGCACCGGGCATGCGGAGACTAGGACCTGCACGAGCTGTATGCCATGTCGAAGAAGTCGGAGGGCCAGCAGAGAAGAACTCGACGACGGTTGCGGCGTTGATCGGCGCGGGGCCAATGTCACCAACGGTGGTCGGAGTAGACGAAGTGGTCGGGGTAGATGACGGTGACGCTGACAACGGGCTGGTGCTGGATGAAGACGAAGGAGGTGGACGGGCGGCTGCGGCGGCTACGGGGTAGCGGCGGCGGCGGCCAAAGAAAAGCGGCGGCGGCAGCTTGATTAGGAGCGCGGCGGCGGTGCTCGAAGTAGACGGAAAACCCTGACAACGTGACGAAGACCGGCGCGGACGGTGGTGTTTCCGCGCCAAGGGAGACGGCGCAACGCATACCACGGGAGGTCGACGCGCGGTGACGGCGGAGTGGACCGCGGGCCGCGGCGCTACGGCCCAAAGGGGCGACGCAGCGGCGGCAAGGAGGTGGCGGCGACGGTGGTAAGACCTCGGGGCGGCGGCGGAGACCGCAGGCCGCGGCGCGACAACCCGAAGGGGCGACGCGGCGGAGGAGTGTGTGTCGGTGCAACCACGTGGACGGCTGCGTGGACCGCGTGCCACACTCGCTATGGCCCGACGGGGCGACGCAGCGGCGGCGCAAGGGTCGGTGCGACCACGGGGACGACCAGGAGTGGACGGCCTAGGGGCGGCGGTGGACCACGGGCCGCGACACTACGACCCAAAGGGACGACGCAGCGGTGACGCGGGTCGGTGCAGCCGGGAGAAGAACCACGGGGCGGCGGCGCTGTGGCCCGACGGGGCGACGCAGCGGCAGCCCGTTGCTCGATTGGTGGAGGGACGCGCTGAACTCGGGGACGATCTTCACGGGACCTGCGGAGACGCGCGCAACCGACGGGCCAGGTCGGTCACACGAAGGAGGTGAGGCGGATCGCGGCGGTGGGCGGGTGATCAATCCGATCGCGCGCGAGGTCGGGGACGCCGCTCGGTGGAGACGGAGTGGCGGCGGAGCCGAGATGAAGCCGGCGACGGCGGGCGGCAGGGCGGCTATGATTGGCCGCCGCATGGCGCGAGGCCGCCGGGTCGGGGCGACCGGCGGGCAGACGACGCGCGAGGCCGCTGGGTCAATGAAGAAGCCGGACGATCGCGCCGGGGTTGGGGTAGAGGCGCACGGGATCGACGGCTGCGATGGACGACGCAAACCGATCAAGATTAGATCGGAAAACTAAAAAGAAACCGACGATCAAGATGACCGGCGGGAGAGAGAAAACCCCGAAGCAAGGGCTCGGGGAAAAGACTCTCTAGAGCAGCCGACCAACACGACCGGTGGACGAACCCTAGGTACGGACGGCGCAGCCCCCGGCGGCGGTCATGAAGGCCGACCGCCCCAGGGGCGGCGCGTGGGTGCAGAAGCGGTGGCGGCTAGGGTTTAAAACCCGGAAACTAATACCATGTTAGAAGGGAGAGATGGATTGGTGGAATAGTTGTTGTATTGCTTGAGCCTCGTGGGTATATATATGAGTACATGGTCATCTTGGAGTACAAGTCAAGGCAGAAACAAATCCTATACTATCCTATGTTTCCTAAATAAACATTATACTCAACACTTTCCCATGGACTAACTAAGCCGGACTGAAGTGACCAGATTCACCATTAGAGAGAGCAATAAACTACTCCCTCCGTCCCATAATATATGACATTTTCCAAGATTGTTTTATTCCAAAAGACATGAACTAACTGAAATATACTGACACCAAACATGATCAGCTTTTTATTCCAAAGAACAATGGTGAAATCAAACCACATGTTTCCGAGTGAAAAAAAAAGGCAATCGGCACATTCACAACTCTAAACTCTCCATCTCCCTATGCACACAAAGCTTCTTCCCGGTGGCGTTTGCCGTGGCTGTAGAAACCTCCATATTTCTACGATGCCTGACTGGCTGACTGCTTGCCTATCTACTAATGTCCCATATATCTTGACTCACAACACGGAGAAAATTGCATAAAGCGAGTAGCAGGCCTGCCTAGCAGGCGCGAACCTCGGTAAATCGGCTTGGGGCTGGTTCACAGTTGCTTGTAACTTTCAATGATCCAAAGAGGCAAGATAGTCTCCTCATAATGGGCTTGCGACTCGCTACTACTTCAAATGACACAACATCCTTCCCGGTATCAACATATGCATCATAGCCCTCCAGATCTGCTTCCGTTATGAACACTGCATCGACACACCCAGTCGGACTGCTTGGCCTCGGTACCATAACTTGACAAAGAGGTAAACCGCTATCATCATAATCGAACTCCACAGTGCAGTCCTCGATATCACTGTCAGGAATGGAGGCTTTGGTGCCTTCTAGGTAACAGTTTAGGTTTGTACTCCTTACTGGAAGACGTCCAGTGGTGAGAGTGCTAAATACAATAACAGCCTGCAAAATCATGTCATTGGCGAAAGCAGCTCAGCAGATGCATGATTGAATAACGATGGCGTTCACTTGTATAGAACACAAAGGCAGCAGTCCTTATACCTGCCACTGTGACGGTGCCAAAAGCACTCGGGGCCTAATGGATCGTACATGATCCAAAGCTGCTTCAGGGGTCATGTTCCTATATTTGATCTGAAGACAAGGAACATAATAATCTTTCATCAGCAACTGAATAAGATTTATAACATTCAGCTTGAAATTTATGTAGCTTATCTTACCAAATAGCACAAAACAATAGTGGTGCTTCGTCCTCTTCCAGCTTTACAGTGAACATAAGTAGTTCCACCTTTTGACGCATTGCCTGAAAAACAAGTAACTACATATTAACTTCTAACCATTTGAGGCCTATTGAAATTTCGAGAAAATATGTGATCTTTATTTCTTTAACATTTAAACCAAACTCAATGGACATTTGTTGTTGCTAATGACAAGGCATAAGTGATCAGATCATCCTTGGTCTATAGAACAGTCAAGGAAGCTTGAAGATAGTACATACTACATAGTTACATCTTACATGCAATTAGATAGACATTGCTGTTTGAAAACGTTCTGCAGACAGCTCGTCATTGAGTTCAAATTTCGGCATTGTGGATAAAACAAGAGAACTGAAAGACAGGACAAGCTCTAGTAATAAAAACGATTATTACAACCACAGCAGCAGCAGAAAAAAAGAATCCTTCAATGAGCAATATTTTAGTACTAGACCGTTTCTTGACATATTATCAAAGAACTGCATGTTTAAGAATAGTCTAAAGAATCACCCCATTTCTGTATCAGTGTTCAGAAAGCGATTCTTTGGAATTTCAACAAAAACAACAGGTGTGTCCCACCCATCAGCCACATCATCATGAATTGGGACAGGTGCAACTTCTTCACGGACACTTATGCTTGTGACTGATGGGTTGGGCAAACCTGCCAGTTCTGTTGTAATCATATAAAGGTGTAGTTTACTGAAAATCATGATACACAAAAAGTGTGGTTTGTGAAATTACTTGTTAACTGTAGTTCCTTGATAGTTAACAAATATAGTGTAGTGTTGAGAAATGTTGCTTCTGCACATAAATCATGCGCTCAAGAATTATGTAGACATTCCTTCATAGTGTACTATCCTTGTCTACATAAATGACTGACTTTTATAACAGGGTCTCAGTTTCTTTGTCATAGGCATTTATATTGCCCATTCCACTTACTGTCATGCATGATGTCATTCACAGCGACAGCAAACAAATCCTTCATATTGCTATTCGGATGGGGGCTTGCATTAAAAGATAGTGTTGCAACCTATATATTGTTATACCTACTCCATCAGATACTGACGACCTAACAAACAATGTACTCAGTTCATTATACAGTTGACCGCAAGCTATCATCTACATTCCTTGCATCCCAAATCTAAATCAGTTTCTTATTGCAGGAGAAAAGCACTCCATAACACAAGGTACTAAAGACATCAGGAGAACTGATATGTAGATTTAATGATTTATCTCTTGCGTCTAGGACATGACATGAACTTACGGTGGATAAAATCAATGGCTCGACAAATATCTTCAAGGGATGGTGCGAACAGGTAGTCTCTTGTGGCAATCACAAGGTGATCAATCCCATAGGCCTGGAAAAAGAAGGTGTGTTACTCATCAGTACATATTTGTCTTGCTAACTGAAAAGCCACAGTAGAGTGATGGTCTGATGGAGCATGGCTGCGAATCAATCACAGTATGTATGGAATTGCATTTATTAATTTAAATTCAAAATACAAACGAAATCATGCAACAATGAAATCAAGTAATGTTAAATTTACCTGGTACAAGGACATTGGTACCAGAGTCTCATAAGGCTCATTCAATGTTACAACTCCCTGAACTCCAAGTTGCTTCAGACGTGGAACATCACTAGGGAAAGGAACAGCTCCTAGCAAAATACACTGCAGATGGAGGTTGGAGAAATTAGACGATGAAATCTTTATAGCAGAGACACGTCACAGTATTATACATCGAAATGCTAAATTGTGCAAAGCAAAAATCGCAACACCTAACAGCAGCAATCAAGGCATGCTATCTAGGGATGAATGCGTCCTTTCACCACCGAATCAACAGAAGGCTTCTATGGTCCTAGGCATGTAAACATGTTCACCCACCAGTGCCAAATGGAAGACCAAAAGACAATCATACAGAAGAACAAGCTATAGTAACATAGATACTGAAGAAAAAGTGCTCAAATGTCTTGCACTCGAAAATGGAGCCTGAAATGACCGGACACAACAACAATCACTGCTCACACGGGCCATACCTTTCCCAACAGGCGAACGTCAATTACAAGAAATACTCTAACGCACAAAAAAGAAGAAGACGAAAGCAGCACTTCAGCACAAAAGTAACAGCGGAGCGTCACTGCGTCAGATGCAATCATGGAACCAGCCGTAACCCTTATATACAGGCCCCCCAGTGTAGATGGCACCGAGAAAACCCTGATGAAAAACTGGTGCCCAAAATCACACCCTTCATCACCAGTTTTAAAAAGCTGCCCTATCATCCAATCTTATGGACGCCAAGTGAACCAATTTACCGAACAAGAATCAGTCAATATACTCCATAGGCATACACTATGGGCCTAAAATCCCAGACAAAGTAATCACGAAATTCGCTCAAAGGCAGGGTCAGCACCTGGTCGACGCGGTCCCACCACCGGAACTCCGCCTCGAATTGGTTGCGCAGGACGTTGTAGAGAAGCGTGGGGTAGAAGAGCACCCTGGCGCCGGCGCCGACGAGCGCGCGCTTGGCCCTCAGCCGCACGACCTCGCCGCCGCCGCCGCCCGCCCAGGCGTCCTCCTGCTCCTCCCCCTCCACCGGCCTCCCGTCGCCGTCCCCCAGCTCGCGAATCCTCATGCGCCTCCCCCTCCCCTACCGAAACAGCTCGACGGCCCAACCTTACGCGCACGCCGAGACGCCTCCAGGCTCCGGCGCGCTCCAAACCCTTCCGGAACCAGCAGATCCGCTGGGGAGATTCGTGGATCGAGAGGCGTTGCGGCTCGGGCTTTGCTCCTGGTGGTGGCCAGAGGAGACGCGAGAAATGGGAAGAGTGTGGGCTGTGGGGGCAAGGCAAAACCCCAGGAGAAGACTGCGGGGGCGAAAACAGGTGGCGAGTCTGCTGAATCGGATCCAGGGAGGGGGAGTGGGGAGGGGGCTGATGGTCCGGGTTTTTGGGTGGCTTGTTGGTTGGTTGGTGGGATGGGATTTATTGGTGGACAAAACGTGGGTGCGTTTATCTCCGCAGGTCCCTTGACAGTCGAGTAATTGTGCGGTTTCATCATTTTCCTTTTTTTTTCTGAGCGACCTCTTTTTCATGCTTGGGAGTAGGTGCAACAAATCTTCAAAGCTTTCTTCACGACTCCATGTATGATGTGTATACTCTAAAAAGACATAACCCTTATAAAAACATGTTAATATTTTATATAATGCTAATTCATTTGCCACGGAGCGACTAAATGCATAATGTAGTCTGGAGCGAAACTCACGAAGAATATTTACTCACGAAATGAGCCATTAGCCTATTAAACGAGAAATGGTGCTTTTATAAAAAAAAGTATAAAGGGATTGTACATAGTAGGCAAGCAATGTTCTTATAACGGATTCTTGGTTTGAATGCCGGCCAACAAACTTTTTATGATTTTAATCGGGTGACAATTTCTTTTGCAAAGATAAATGAAGTGAGGATAATTCACCAGCCATAGGTTGATTGGACAGCACGGGTCAAGATTACAACATCCACGAAAACATATAAAATTTCACACATCGGCGAGGAACAAGGCAAGGTTGTTGGTGACAAGGACGTGCATTTGACCTACATAAACCCCTCATCAACTGAGCTATAGAAGCGTGCAAAAGGATGTAAAGTTGGCATCGCAGAACGGATCATGACATTGCCTCACAGCTTACACAAGGCGCTCAGGAAGACTATACTAACCTAACCTGACTATAAAAGAGTGGCTCAAAGTATGTAAGAAAATAAAGACCAGTTGGAGAGCAGCCTTGTACACGGGGAGGCGCGCAAAGATAATCACAGAGAACTGAAGGGTGCGGATGAAAGACTGCCTAATCGCGCACCAATAATTCCAGGTAAAACCGCCCGGTCACCCGAAACGGCCGGATTGCCCAGCCGCGAGATTTCCCGCGTCCGCGAGAGGGAAAACAGCCGAGGTTTTCGAGCCCGTGCAACGAGTGGACCGCGGCGAGCTGGCGTCGTCAGTGGTGTGTGTCACGCGACTCGTACGCGTGCGTCCTGCTGCGCTGCCCCCTCGTCACGCCGGCCGGCCGTCCGCCCGTTTCTGGCTTTCTGCTTTGCCATGGTCTCCACGTGGGCGGTGCCCGTTGGACGCATCCTACTGTTGGGTGATGCTGTGTGTGGGCCCGTGGCGGCTCAGGTCCTTGCGAGCGATCATGGTGTATGTGGCCCCTGTGACTCTGGTGGGTCCGATGCACTGTTTTGACTCGGGTGACCGGTGGTCGGCAAGTTTTTCCCTTTTTCTTTTCGAACAACATAGTCGACTAGCTGGATCCGAATCATCCGATCTTTCCAAATATTTTTCCTCGCGGCAGAGAGTACAGCCGCCATGGGCCGATTGTTGTATCGCTGACTCGCTCGCGATAAGCACGATGGGCCGATTGTATGCAGGGCCGAAATAGCCTGCTCATTTCTCAAAACTACGGCCCACGACCCGGCCAGAATCACTCAACCGACGCACGCTCGTTTGTACACGAGCATAGAGCCCTCAGCTCCTCGGCGGCCCTCCCCTCGTCTCCGTCCGGGTCGCCACTCCCCGCCCTCGGAGCTCCCGGGCGGCGGCAGCCATGTACCGGGTCGCCGGCAGCCACCTCCGCGCTCTCAAGGTACCCTCTTCCCCCATCTGCCCGCCCCGCAGCAAACCCTCAGCGTTCGTCAGACAAACGAGCTGATTCCTCGGGTGGTGCTCGTGGAGTTGCTGCCGATTCATATGCCGTTGGTTATATGTTCGATTGGTCTAGCTTCCAATTCCATCACTTAGAAACGGGGGCTAGAGTGTATGCGCATGGTGTTTGCTGCGGGTGATGTGCTTGTTATCCCTCGAATAGAGAAGAAGGGACGCGGATAGTAGAAGTCAGGTGATTTCTGACAGACACCGAGCTAGACAAATTTGTGAGGTGATGTAAATACCAGTCTATTTGATCCACACTCCAATTAGAACCACGATCTGCAGGATGTGATTTTGGTATTTGAGCTAGTACTACTTATGTTGGGCTGTGTTACAACTCAAGTGAAAATACAAATAAGTGATACGGTTTCCACACTATGAATCTGTGCTACATAAACACAAAAATACATCTCTGGCGCATCCATATCATGAATCTGTGATACTGTATAAAATGCTTAAAACGTAGTTGTTGGCTATTTACTTTGTCATTATTAGCCTTAAGGGTAAATTGGGTCCATCAGATAGGCACAATCCGTACCTCCATCTGTCTGCCATAGACAGCATGTGCCTAACAAACTCACACTGCCAAGTGCCATAAGTCGTACACACTCATCAATGTGCTGTCAAACAATTGTCATTCAGAGGCACCATCATCAGAGTCACTGACAAGAACCACCCTAGTTTGTTGTTCCCTGTGATCCAATGTGCATCACTTCATACCAAGGAACTGCGCCCCTTCAATGATTATATGTTATTAGACAAACAATTCCCATGTCACCTCATTTTGTATCCCGTTCGACATTACACACTTGTTCACGTCTTTCCCTCTAACTAGTGCAAGCATCACCTCCTTTGTAACATGTCCAATATAAGAACACACGACTAGCTTTGTTATCATTTATAAGGAGGTCTAAACCTGTATGAACATCATGTCCTTGTGTCCATTACTTATTTCAGATCATACTTAGAGCATCGACAATATATTGTAGTTGAAACTCAAGGAGTGATATATGTTACTAGCCACACTTTGTTACTTTAAATTTACATATGGTGGGTTTTGCTTTGCAATTTGGTCCTATTGGTTTTTATTTTCACCTGTTGCCTGCCTTAACTTATGTATTTTGCACACAAGTTGGTTTCATGTTCAAGCTTTTCCGTTTTCAACCTTTACTTTTAGAGTTTTAGCGATGTTACCTGATGTTCTCGCCACCGCACAATTTGTTTCCTTTTTCTGCTTGCAGCAACATGGTTCTAGTAGGTTTGCTAGTACAAGTGTTGTGAAGCAGTCTTCTGGTGGTTTATTTGGTTGGCTTCTTGGTAGCAAGCCAACCCAGTTTCCAGCTCTTGATGTCCCTCTCCCAGGCGTCACCATTCCTCCACCACTACCAGACTTTGTAGAGCCAGCCAAGGCAAAAGTTACCACTCTCCCGAATGGCATCAAAATTGCTTCAGAAACATCAACGGTATCACTATGTGCCTGCAGATGTTTCAGTGTGTTCCTTTTTTTAAATATCTACATTGGGGTAATTTATAGGGACTTAACTGCAGAGTCCAGCAGCAACAGTGGGATTGTATATTGATTGTGGTTCTATGTATGAAACACCTGGTTCATCTGGAGCATCGCATCTACTGGAGAGAATGTCATTCAAGAGCACCACAAACAGGAGTCATTTGCGGCTAGTACGCGAGGTAGAGTCCATTGGAGGGAATGTTTCTGCAATAGCTACTCGTGAACAAATGTGCTATACCTATGATGCATTCAGGGCCTATGTACCTGATATGGTCGAAGTACTTATTGATAGTGTGAGAAACCCAGCATTTCTTGATTGGGAGGTTAAAGAGCAGGTATTCCATTATTTAAAGGTAAGCGCTCCAGGTTTACCCTTCATTGTATTAATGTCCTGTTGTCTTACAGCTGGAGGAGATGAAAGCTGAAATAGCTGAATTTTCTGCTAATCCTCAAGGTTTACTTTTAGAGGCTCTCCATTCTGCTGGCTATACTGGGGCACTGGCAAAGCCCTTGGTGGCACCAGAGCCTGCCATACATAAATTGGACAGTGGTGTTCTTAAGGAATTCGTTGCTGTAAGATTCATTAATCTGCCATCTACTCATCTTTGCTGTTATTTAGTTAGAAAGATTTTGTTTTGAAATCTGTATGCATTGAGGCATTTAGGAAAACTACACAGCACCCAGGATGGTCCTAGCGGCATCAGGAGTTGAGCATGATGTGCTAGTTTCAATTGCTGAGCCACTTCTCTCTGATCTTCCTGCTGTGAAGCGTCCAGAAGAGCCAAAATCAGTTTATGTGGGAGGAGACTATCGTTGTCAAGCAGACTGTCAAGTGAGTTCTTGCTGTTTTTCTATCTTTTGCGCTGTCTGGTCATGGTGATGTATCTATGATTTACTTCTATAGTTCTTACTTGTTCTCTCCCGTGGACAGAACACACATTTTGCTCTTGCTTTTGAAGTGCCAGGTGGATGGTATGAAGAGAAAACAGCTATTACTGTAACTGTCCTTCAGGTATTGGTGGGCGTTAGCAAATATTTAAGTGACTGTTATTTACGGACAAAATTCTAGACAAGCAGTTTCTTTTCTTCGAGGTTTTGTGTGGTTTAATGATTATCATATGCTTGCATATTAAAAGCGAACTACGTGTCCACTTTCCACTGCCCACTATAATAATAAGTTTTTTTCTGCAGAAGCTCATGGGGGGAGGTGATTGGTTCTGTACTGGCGGTGTTGGGAAGGGCTTGTATTCTCGATTATGTATGTCATGCCTTTCAATTCTATATCCCTGCCAATGATTCAAAATTAAATTAATCTAATTACTTTTTTTACTTTAACACTCTTTACATACAGCTCTCCGGATATTAAGCCACTACCATCAGATCGAATCATTCTCCGCTTTCAATCATATCCACAACTATTCTGGTCTTTTTGGAATTCTTGCAACAACCGTAAGCATCTTCTCAGACATAAGCCATCCTTCATGTTTTATCTATGAAATTCAAGATGTGAATAAAACTTTGTGATGTCTTGTATCTCCCAGAAATAGTTAATTTGTGTGCATTGCTATGTGGTATGTTTTATCCTTTCTGATTATTGGGTTTAATGGCATACAGTAATTAGTCTTACATGAAACGACATGACATGGAAACAGCTTAAGGCAAAGAAACTTATTGCTCCTACCTAGAGAAAAGATGCGTAGCCAAACAGCTAAAGGCCCCTCCAGCCAACATAAAGGCTAAAGTAGCTTGAGTAGGGGAAGAGTGGAAACTTTTGATGCCTTCAGTAGCAATAAGCAAATAACAAAAGCTAACTGTCTGGTACTTTTCTGGGGGCTATCCAGTTAGAATTGCGATATAATCTCTGCATACCAAAGAAGCATGTAACCTATCCTAATTTCAGCCATTTGGCGTGTCTGTTTATCTTACCTCCCGTCCATCCTATCACTATTTTGTCCAACATTTTGTATCGTTTTCACAGTCTACTTCTCCCTAGAACACAAACAACGCAAATAATGTGTAAAGGTTGAGTAAAGAATTGCCCAGACTCCAGCTGGTGTCGTTTCTTTATTTTCCTTTTGTAGTTTACTTATTCTCATGGTGCAGTCAAATGGACAAATTATTGCTTGACCTGGTTTCACACTTATGCACAGATCCATCATTCTACTATTTTTTATTTTCTATCATATAGTTGTATCTAATCTAACATGCTTTTGTGTTCTGTGATCACAGAGTCCAGATTTTGCCTCGAAGGCTGTGGATTTGGCAGCAGGGGAACTTCTTGAAGTTGCCACTCCTGGAAATGGTTTGCATCTTATTTGACATCTGCTGTGTAACGAATCATCTCTAGAACTAAATTGACCACTCATTAATCTTCCCACTTGGCTGTGTTTCTACTTAGTTACACAAGGACAGCTTGATCGAGCTAAACGGGCAGCAAAGTGTAAAGTTTTGATGGACTTGGAATCAAGAGTATGCATTCCTAACCCCTAATTGAATCCTTCAGACAAACTTTTAACTCATACCCCACTCTGTTCCTAAATAGGCATTCCACATGGTCTCAAATACACCCATTTGACCATTGCCTTTTCTAATTGTATGTTAATGGAACTTATATGAAATGGCATGTTATGGAAATTCTATTGATGATCTGCTAATTTGAATTTCATGTGACAAATCTTAGAAGTTGTATGTATATTAGCAACCAAAGTCTAAACTTTGACTGTGCTTATTCTAAAATATTGTCTATTTAAGAATGGAAGAAGCATTATATACTTAATACTTGGTATTATTCATTCCAGGCTGTAGCATGTGAAGACATTGGGAGGCAGGTTATGACTTATGGTGAAAGGTATGGCTAGACAGGCATCTGTAACTTACTCCCTCCGTCCCAAAATATAAGATCATTTTTCACACTATTCATAGTGTCAAAAATGATCTTATATTTTGGGACGGGGGGAGTAGCTATTAAAGTCAACTCCCCAGTGTTCATGATGTTTCACATTCACATGCACTAGCTATGCATTCAATCATTTGGAAATCAGATAGACTCTATTGACCAAAGTAGTGTTTTAAATAGCTGGCTATGCTAAATAGCGGCAGACCTCCAAATCAGCTATAGCGGGCTATTTGTACATGAGATCATTTAGTGGCACCCCGATGAAAAGGCTATAGCGGGGCTATAGCCGGCTATTTAAAACTACCAACTAGGCAGTTATTACGGTCTGATTTTAACACTGTTAATTTTATGTTACCTTCTCTTCTGTTTGAACTTTTAACAGTATTTCTCAACATTTACATATGTGCTTGTGTAAACATTGCAGTGCCCTTTTGAGGGGAAAGTATTTTCCAATTTATATGTTTTTTCTGAAGAATCAGCATGCTTACTAGTTTTGGAACTCAAATAGATATTCTTAATTTGTTCGATGAAATATATGAGGAGGTTTCATAGTTCACGTTATAGTTTTTCTGTATATAGTCCTGATGGTGGATCGATTAGGTAACGTTCTGTGCTAAAATGGAACTAAAAAGTCATTTAGTGCAGAATTTGGTTAGGGCATCTCCAACGTGGATCCTGAAATATGCCCAAAATGTCCGCGGACTGGTCTGGACGTCCGAAATTCCTCAAACTGGGGGGAGTTCTAGGGGAGTCCGGAAGTCCGCGGACATCGCCAACTTGGCCTCGGACCCCACCACAAACCCACTTTTCCCTTTCCCTCCCTTCTCTCTCCTCTCTTCGTTTGACAAGGGGCGGACATATTGTGGGTATAGTTGGAGTTGCCCTTAGGCCCATGTACAGAAAATAGCTATGATAACCACGACTTAGCGAGAAACTTCCAGTCTCGATCTGGGTGAAATGGCTTGGTGAACCAAGTTTGAGGTGGCTGTAGGGGCTTTGCTTCTTTTCCAGAGCTGCGACAGGTTGCAGTTATTCTTTTCCAGAGGATGCTTTGCTTCAGATAAGCCTTGTTGGGGCATTTTTCGAATTTTCATGCTGTTATTGTATCTATCTTGTGGATTGTCCAGTAGTTTATACCCAAGCTGAATGAACTTCACATCACCATATGAAAATCATGATATCAGAGTCCTCCAGTTGTTGATCCAGTCTAGCTAGAAATTGACCTTCTACCGCATTCTAGCTGGCAGCTGCATTGTTTGTGCAAGCGATTGATCATTTTTCCTTTTGTTGCGAATAAACACGTCGACCATATTCTAGCTATTACATGCAGTATTTATATACCCCCTCTGTCCCAAAATATAGTGCTTATTAGATCTTTTTGAAATCAAACTTCGTCAACTTTGACCAAGTTTATAGAATAAATTGTGAACATCTACAATACTAAGTCAATTTCTTTAGATTCATCATGAAATATTTCCATATGGTATATATTTTGTGTTATAGATGTACTCCCTCCGTTCCTAAATATAAGACCTTTTGGAGATTCCAATATTGACTACATACAGAGCAAAATGAGTGATTCTACATTCTAAAATACATATATATACATCCGTATGTAGTCCATATTGAAATCTCTAAAAGGTCTTCTGTTTAGAAACGGAGGGAGTAGATACTTTTCTGTATAAACTTGGTCAAAGTTTGTGAAGCTTGACTTTTGCGCAAACCAATGCACACTATATTGTGGGACAGAGGGAGTATACAGATAAATATCACTGTTTTGCTATGCTAATCTCAGGTGCAGGAGCTATTGCAGGACAAGCATTGTCCACATTTTTTTGTTACCTAGCCAGCACTTGATAGCTATAATATAAGGCTATAAAGTACCATTTCAACTTTTTCCTTGATTCTGAACCTCAGTGATTCAGCTTCCATGACATTGCAGGGAACCCATCGAGAAATTCTTGAAAGATGTCGAAGCAATTACTCTGAATGACATTTCTTCAACTGCCAAGAACATTATTTCTACACCCCTTACAATGGCATCATGGGGTGATGGTATGTTCTTACTAAGCACATTGTTCTTCTTTACATTTTTTGCCATCAAGTAGATTGTGCAACATTGTTGCGACCGTGGTCTTGTGGTTTACCAAAAAAATGTTTGTTTTGCAGTTACTAATATCCCAACCTACGAGTCTGTTAGCAGGAAGTTTCATTCAAAGTGAGGGAAAGCCCGTTGCAAGACATGTTCCGGCTGCACAAGATGTGCAGAGATGTGTAACTCTTGTGGCAATGGCCCTAACCACTGGAACCCACTGAACACATCGTTTTACTCACTGAACACATGTTAGTGGTGCTGACTGTCTTATTAGTTAGTACTATTATTTTCCTCTATTATGTACATATTTTGAAAGATCTGCAGCAGGCTTTAACTCCTTTTTTTTACCTAGTCATCTTGTTTGTTTGCATTATGCCTTAGCTAAGCCCTTACGGCTAGATTTATAAAGCATAAGAAATACTCCCTCTGTCGCAAACTAAGTGTCTCAACTTTGTACTAACTTTAGTACAAAGTTGTGCTAAGGTTGAGCCACTTATTTTGGAATGGAGGGAGTACATTTGAATAATTTCGACCATCTTTTCTTTGATGTAATAACGTGGGTTAGGGTTTCTTTTGCAGCGGGATGCCCGTAGAGAGACAACAGATCGGTATTTGCGTTAAAGAGAATTATCTGATGTTTGACAAACATTATTTTGCGGTTCAACAAGCATTTCTTTTGGAGCGACTAGGAGGAATGGAGGATGCTCACTACCATGGGCCCAAGCCTGCTCGCTCCTCCAATTTTCTTGTACATTTTTTTTCTTCGACATATGTGTGCTACATTGAAGCGAGCATTTGCCTTATGCAACAAATTTTTCTACATTAGCTCTTCATCCTTGTGTTTTTTCATAGGATACAAGAGTATCTTTGCAATCCTACTATTATGATTGGCTTCGTTTCTCATTTGAAATGTTTTATGAATGGTTCGAATTTATTCTTTTGGAAGGCACACATTGGCTTAAGTAAACACGTCAGGCTTCTCTCTCCATCCCCTCTTCTAGGTATCTTTTGTCATGTCCCTTAGCATCACATAGGTGCTATGGGATTAAATTATGTTTATTTAATAAATGATAAAACATGTAAAATAACAATTTGATTAGCTTAGAGTGGATGCAAGTTTAGCAGTGGTGCTGTTTTTTTAACCTTTAGCATATATTCCCAACAAAAACGTGGAATTGAAGTAGGATGATGAGGGGGGAGAAGTGGGAGAAAGATAGAGCTACATGTCATGGAACAGCCAGCTAAATGTCGTCCTTGAGGGCGGAGCTCCTTTTCAACAAAAACGTGGAATTGAAAAAAAATAGGGACATTAGGGAGGAGAAGAAAAAGGAAAGGTACAAACTCTACTTGTATGTCTAAAGGGAGAGGATGGACTTCAAGAAAAACAGGGCGAGGCAAGGTTGATACTTGAGATGAATGATGAATCAAAGTTTGTTTTTTTCTTGCATGCATTGATGTCTTTGCACATGATGGTGATCCACGACATCATTATCCATGAGGCTAGCATCGGCCAACATGTCCTCAACTCCTCAGTGATCCATGCTATCCTCACCTTCTCTCTCTTAATATCAATGTCGTCCCTCGCCTTCATCTTCTCAAGCTCCATTCACTCTCATGCCTTCAACATCTCCATGTACATCCTTTGTTTTATCAGCTACTCCCTCCGTCCACGAATAAGTGTACATCTAGCTTTTGTTCTAAGTTAAAGTTTTAAAATTTTGACCAACTTTATAGAAAATAATAGTAACATATATGACATCAAATTGATAGATTATCAAAGTACATTTCAAAACGAATCTAGTGATACTAATTTGGTGTCATAAATGCTTTTACTTTTTCCTAGAAAGGTGGTCAAAGTTTTAAAACTTTGACTTAAGACAAAAGCTACATGTACACTTATTCATGGACGGAGGGAGTATGTATGAGTTGTTGAATTAGCTGTCGCCAATCACATTTGTTGTTGGATTGTTTGACTTGTTAGTTATTGTATTGTTGAACTGTTGTGTGCAATATTTATTGTTGAATGTGTAGTGAATATGATGAAAATATATTTTTAAGGGAAATATATTTTTGGTCCCTCAACTCTTGACAGAGTCTAGATTTGGTCCCTCAGCTTCGAAACCGGACAACTTACACCCCCAATTACTAAAACTAGACAAGGTTCGTCCTTGGTCTCGGTTTTGGTGCTGACTCACCCCTCTTTGGACCAATGCTGACTCAATTTCACATAAAATTTCAAATCCATGAACTTTTTAAAATTCGCACACTCTTTTCAAATCCGCGTATTTTTTCAAGTTTGTGTATTTTTAAAAAAATTCACGTACTTTTTCTCAAATTCATAGACTTTTTAAAAATTTGCGTACTTTTTTCAAATCCACTTATCTTTTTTCAAGTTCACGTAACTTTTATCAAATCTGAGTACTTTTTCCAAATCCATGAACTGTTTTTGAAACACGTGTACTTGTTTCAAATCCGCATGCTTTTTTAAAAACATTGTTCGAACTTGGAAAAAGTATGTGAATTTGAGTCGGCACGGTCAAAACTGGGGTGAGAGAACACCAAAACCGGTCAAAACCGTGACCACGGACGAAACTTGTTCGGTTTCAGTAGTTGACGGTGCAAGTTGTCCGCTTTCAAAGTTAAGGTGTCAAATTTAGACTCCGTCAAAAATTAAGACGGACAAATGAGGAGGCCCGAAATGAGGGCGCCGGTGTAGTGACATATAAATGGGGCTTGAAGCTTGATTGTGTGAATACATGGGGGCTTAAATTAGGCATTTGCCTTTGGAGATGTTCGGCAAAGAGATGATGGTGGCACATTTCTTCTCATTTATTCCAAAAGCAATGAAAAAGAAACTTCAATAAGTAGGAGTAGATGCCAGGCATGACCCGGCTCTATTTATTCCCACTGTGATCGACCGATGCATCCACAGCCGTCTGCCTGAGAAACAAGACACGATTCCATTCACTCACCTTAAATAATTGCCGCATAAACCATTTCCATCTCCATTTTCCATTTCATCACCACGAATTCACAGCAGAAAAACATCACACCGAAAAGTCCCGAGCCTTCTCCTCCTCCTCCCTCTTTCGGTCTTTCCCCTTCTCCACGCTTCGCCGCTGGCCGAATATTTAAACCTCCATCTGACCAGCTCGCTCGTCGGCTTCTGCCTTTCCGGCGAGAGGAAACGGTTTTCTTAACGCGCCAGCGAGACCAGACCACCCACTCGACTCCGTCAGCTTTCCAGCGCCGGGAGCTCTCCGATGGCGTCCCACATCATTCTCCCCAAGGAGGAGGAGGAGGAGGTGGAGGAGGGGCTGGGCGTGGCGGTGGAGGCGGACCACGACTCGCCGGAGCCGCCGCGGTACCGGCACTTGCAGCCGGCCCAGAAGGCGCTCCCCTTCTCGGCTACGTGCGTGCGGATCTCCCGCGACTCCTACCCCAACCTCCGCGCCCTCCGCAACGCCTCCGCCACGAGCCTCCGCGACGACGACGACGCCTTCGCCAAGCTCGACGAGGGCGACTACGGCTACGTCCTCGACGACGTCCAGCACCTCACCGATTACCTCCCCGAACTCCCCGTGAGCGCCGCCACCCACTCCCCCTCCCCTCCCCTGCTCCCGCTTTGCTCCGCTGCCGGATTTGGTGGCCCCGCGCCCGCGGTGGGAATTTCTATGAACTGCGGTTGTTGCTTGTCAGGGAGAGGGCGTGGTTTTGCTTCTGGATGCGCGAATTTCGCTTATGCTTGGCTTTGGTTCCTTCTGCCATTTGTGCTGAGCTTCGCCTTCACTGATTACGCAGCATTTGATGATTTAGGCGCCCCCTTACATTTTCCAAGTTTTTGGGTGTCAGTTTGTGGATTGGTTGTGCGTGAGATCCATTTTCGGACACTTACATAGTGCTGATCTGATGATCTTTGGCGAGTGACCCCATTAGCCGGATATGATCCGATAACATAGTAGTAGAACACTTGGAGATTGTAGATTCCTACCTAAATCAACGCTGTTTTGCGTGAGATTCCTACGATGAACTGGCCTCTTTGTTCATAGGTGACGCTTGTTAGATTTGTTGTTTAAACTTGTGGATGCCTGGATCGGAGTTTTGATCCGATCCGGGCTGAATGGAGTGTGGCTTCACTTTACAAATATTCGATTACCCTTTCCCAAACCACCTGTTGTGGTACTGTGGCATTTCAGGTGTAGTAGACAGAACAGGCCTGACATTCTCCTGTAGATCAGCTGCATATGCATTCATGGAATGCTGGATACATAGCAATTCATTATTTATTTTTGGCTTCAATTACATGTTAAAATGAAGTGAATCGATTTCAAGGTGACATCATGGGAATTAAGCTGACGGTTTCCTTTTTTGTCCTTCCTGACAGACTTTTCCTAACCCATTGCAAGATCACCCTGCCTATTCAACTGTCAAGTAAGGATCTACCATCAGTTTGCCGTTGTTGTCACCTGCGCAAAATCTCTTGTGCTCATTACATATCTGATAAGCTAAATGAAGGCTCTCTTCACATATTTACCAGGCAATATTTTGTCAATGCAGATGATACCGTACCTGAAAAGGTAAAAAAAGAGTCAAAGCAGATTTTTCGTACATTAATAATATGTTTAAGGTGGTAATTGGTGAAATGACATGTTTTTTGTGCCACAACAGGTGGTTGTTCAGAAGAACAGCCCACGTGGAGTTCACTTCCGTCGTGCCGGGCCTCGCCAGAGGGTATGATGCCTTAAATATGTGCCTATATCATTTAAGGGCAATGCACTGTCTACATATATCTGGTATAAATTTTGAGCCTTATCAGGTCTACTTCGAGCCAGAAGATGTGAAAGCATGCATTGTGACATGTGGTGGCCTTTGCCCTGGGCTCAATACTGTCATTAGAGAGTTGGTGTGTGGCTTATCCCACATGTACAATGTCAACGATGTCTTCGGAATACAGGTTTGTGCTGTTGCTATCCCAGACGACTGGTCCATGCCATATCTTTGTTTGGAAAAGAAGACCACCTTCCTTGATCCTTGTCCTGTTAAACATTTCCCAGGAATTAATAGACATTTGCATTTGCATTTCATGCCAGTGCGGAAGGAGCAAAACCCCTGTCATTTTACTTCAGATTTACTTAGGAAATTATTTCCACCGTACTACACTTACAATAACTGCATGTTCTGAAGTCCATGAGCTTCGTTGTGTCATATGAGTCTAGAATTTGTTCGATTAATGGGAACTTTGTGCCACCGTGTTTTTGCCATGACCGTGAGCAAGCATTGTAGTGCAGTGGTGAAAGCAATTTCTAAACTGTAGCTATTAAATCTATATCTATGCATGGTTCTTTAACTTCAAAAGCATTGTTCATTTTCTATTACTTATGTCGTAAGCAATTTTGTAGAATGGATACAAAGGCTTCTATTCGAGCAATTATCTTCCCATGACACCAAAAAGTGTCAATGATATCCACAAAAGGGGTGGTACAGTTCTTGGAAGTTCACGTGGTGGTCATGATACCCATAAGATTGTCGATAACATTCAAGATCGTGGAATTAATCAGGTATTTGTATGTTGTAAGCGTTGTTTATACGATCTTCCTTATTTCGGAAGTTGAGCAAATTCTGCATGTGCCCCTTATCTAGGTTTACATTATTGGAGGAGATGGAACTCAGAAGGGAGCATATGAGATATTCAAGGTAATCACTATCAGCAGTGTATCCACCACATTTATGTAGATATCGTCTTAAAGGCTCATATTTTAGAAGTCATTAATACATTATTAGAATATTTTTTAGTGAAAATATAATTGGAGTATCGACTGAGATGTTCACATTTCTTGACTCAGTTTTTAACTTTTGGAATTGCTGATAGGAAATCCGGAGACGTGGTCTAAAAGTCGCTGTTGCTGGTATCCCCAAGACTATTGATAATGATATAGCGGTAATATATGACTGCTTGCTTTTCTACAACAAAGATGCTTTTACTGAATATCGGTTGATTTTGGAGATCAGTATGCAGGGGATGTGAATTGATACTGATTATTGTAATATATTAATTCTTAGGTTATAGACAAGTCCTTTGGTTTTGACACTGCTGTAGAAGAGGCCCAACGTGCCATTGATGCCGCTCATGTGGAAGCTTCAAGTGCTGAGAACGGAATAGGCTTGGTGAAACTGATGGGTCGCTATAGTGGTTAGTTCTCTTAGTTCCTAGCCCATCCTAATATGGGTCCTTGCTGCTGCTGACTGATGAGTTCTTGAATCATTTGCCAACTCCCCCCTTGCTGTTTCTTCCTTCAAGGGTAGAAAAGCAGGCCAAAAAGGAGTTACCTTGTCTTTCGCTGATTTGCTCCGATTAACTAAAAAATGTTTAGTGGAATGTTCATTAAGTACTTATCCCTTATGCGTCACAATGGATTTTTTTTAATAATTTTTAGCTATTGCATTATGCAGTTCTTAGTCCTCAATGTGATGATTCCTTGCTAATGCAGGGTTTATTGCAATGTATGCTACGCTGGCAAGCAGAGATGTGGTAAGTTAGTGCCTTCTATGCATATCTGAGCTATTCCAAACAGCACTCAGTAATTTTTTTAAGCCTTATATTTTTCATTGTTTTTTTTTACTTTGACTGTGTTAGATGAGACGCAGCACCAATGTTCAGATGTGTCATTCTTCTTCTCCATAATTTGTGTTATATTGGCTGGATAACCTGGATTTTTTTCCTTTCTTCTGTAGGACTGCTGCTTAATTCCTGAATCTCTGTTTTATTTGGAGGGGGAGGGTGGACTCTTTGAGTATATAGAAAGAAGGCTGAAGGAGAACAACCACATGGTCATTGTAGTGGCTGAGGGAGCAGGACAGGATCTTATTGCCAAAAGTATACCTGTAGCAGATCAGCTAGATGCATCTGGAAATAAGCTGCTTCTTGATGTTGGTCTCTGGTTGACTCACAAGATTAAGGTGAATATAATTTCTTTTCTAAAACGAGTTTACATGATATATTGATACTACTTTGCATGTATTTTGTGCATATAAATTTTCTGTTGACACTAGAACTGCTAGGATGTGTCACTTTGAAGCCGCCTTTGGAACATGTACACTAGAATTACTAGGATGCTGATAGCAAAGCTAATATCGCAGTGAACCTTCACATTTGTCATTGTTGCTTTCAGTCTTACCTCATACGGATTATTAGTATGGTGATATCAAAACAGGCGTTTTCTTGGACCTCACTTAAGAATTCTCTAATGTATACTTTGTCATTTCCTTGTAGGATCATTGCAAGAGCAAAAAGATGGAGATGACCATTAAATACATAGGTAACAATCTTTTGTTTGCGTCTCTACATCAGATTGTACAGTGGTATATCATTTTGTTGGGTGTAACATCAGCAGCCGGTTATTATTACTGACAGATCCAACCTACATGATCCGAGCCATTCCAAGCAATGCTTCGGACAATGTCTACTGCACACTGCTGGCACACAGTGCCATTCATGGTGCAATGGCAGGATATAGCTTCACAGTGGGAATGGTCAACGGCAGGCATGCATACATACCATTTCATGTAAGTATAACTTCCACATGCCCCTATCAAGTTACTTTTGACTATGGTGTAGTATGGGACTCTCGCTTCATCATGGAAAATGGGGGTATTTGCTTCAGGGCCATCAATATTTCATATGGCGAGTCATAGTTTCTGTCAAGGTTTAATTCTGGCATTCACAAATTGTGAAACGATGCGGCAAATGGCGATATTTTTTCTGCTTGCGTATCATTCCATTGATAGAAGAGCGAAAAAAATTTGAGCGAGAGCTGCCCTGGGGCAGTGACCTTGAACCCTGCAATCGTCATAGGTGGTAGCATAGTCCAAAACACAAGAGTATAACTTCGTCGCAGTGCCTTCCAAAGTCTGCAACTCAGAAAGCACCAGTCAAAATGCAAATGTTGTGACACTTTGTTTGCAACTTCCCTTCCTAAAGC